CTTGTTCACCCTGCTGATAACAGGTCCAACAGGATGTACAGAAGCCTTTTAAACACAACCATTACTCTAAAACAATAACACCAATCTGTTCTGCACCTTTTACTTCTTTTTATATCTTATTCATACCACATTTTTAATTCATGGAGTGTATTTTAAATCTCCTCCACAAGGTCAGCAGGCACAGGATCAATGCTGAGCTCCAGATGGGACCATTGGATTCAGGCCTAGACGCGACAGTATGCTTAGCAAATGATGCTTAACATAAATCTGCTTTAATGGCCACATGTGTAGAGTAAATACAGCACTGTCCAGGTCTAAAAACAGCCCCTTGTTATTGCCATAAACCACTGTTTTGCCGGATATTTGGTGCATATTACACACATTTTAATTTAGCATGAATTGCAGTTATGTCGGTTTTGGAAAACTTTAAGAATTAAACATAAAATTAGTCTGTACTCGTGTGAATAATATGCACGTACTGCACACTTTTGGCTGTTTACAAGAGGGTACATGGACTCCTAGTTGAGACAAGGTGTCAGGTTAACAGCCAAGAGAGGCTTATTTATAGCTGAAGATCCACCCTAACGTCACACAAATACTGACACACATACACTCTCACCCGTTTTATTCACACTCGTGACCCAAACCTCTCCTTTCAAACACGGCTATGATTCATGCACTATTGCCACCCGGTCTGCACACGGAGATACTGGGTCAACCTGTAAAAACAAAAAGGAAAACAAACACCCTCCTCTGGATGTGATTTGTATTCATGCAGTACAGGCAGGTACAAATGGGTACAAATTATAAAAACTAGACTGAGATGAACAATATTTTTGCACTCTTTTAGATTGCATCTCAGTTGATTATCGTCTAATTCTACTGAGAGTTTAAGACCTTGAATAGGGACACATCAGCAACCTAACAGAGTCAGTTAAAGTATTACACAATGTCCTTTGTCTTTAGGTGGTTCAGCTGGTGAGACAGTCGAACTATCTGCTTGTTTCTCTGGATAAACCTCAGTTTTAGCCGATTCTGACGACTTAACAGCCGCCTCTTCTGGTTCAGTTTGTTTAGCAGCAGCTTCCGTCTCACTCGTTTCCTCTTCTTGTGCCGTTTTAGTGTCTTTCTCCTCGTCTTCAGCGGGTTTTGTGTTTGTGACGTCGCTATCTGTCACACTTTCAGTCAGTGAGGACTCCACTGCGGCCAGCATGCTTTCGGCCAGAGCAACGGCGCAAGAGGTCTGCATCGTTTCCTCTCCGTCTCCGTCTCCCTCGTCGGCGGTTTCTGCTGGTGATGCCGTCTCTTTCTCCTCCTCCCTCTGTTCCTTCACACCGGCCTCCTCTTCTTTTTCCTGTACGTCAACTGGAGTCAGAGGTGTTAGGTCCAGGCATGCCTTAGGAGAGGCTGCTGCCTTCTTCCTGGGAGGGGCAACTGGCTTTTGCACTTCCACATCTTTCCACAATTTCTGATTTGCATGCTCGTGTTTCTCGTTCGGGGCTGTAGGGTGATCGTCTGTACTTTCCCAGTCTGGTTCATCTGAGGGAAACTCGAAGCTGGAGATGCTAAGTGGATCCACTGGGATTTCTGCAACTTTTTCTACCTTGATGGAGACATTTTTGCTCGTCTTGTCTTTGGTCTTCGCTGTTGCTTGGGGTTCCTCCTCCTCGAGCGATCGAGCGAAAGGCTCTATGTCACATGGAGAAGAATTGCCGCTGGACCTGAAGAAGTCTGTGATTTCCTCCTCTGAATTTGGCACCTCACCTTTTTCGGGCTTGGACGACAAATCGGCAAAGTCGTACAAATCTTCGGACAACACCCGAGGACCTTCCTCTGTGCATTTTCCTTCGTCGGTTGGTTCCACTTCCACCGCAGGAGTCTCGTCTATGAGGACATATTTCTCCAAATATCCCCTGGCCTCCCGGTCTGAATGCCGGCTGTGGAAGGACTTCTCGGAGGTCATGCTTTCCGTATCCTCTTCTTTTTTCCGACTGCCGGTTGCTTCCTCATACAGGTCCGTGTAAAGGAAGGCCATGGCTTTCGGCTCCTCCAGCAAAATGGGGTCGATAATTTTGGAAGGACCTTCTGGTAGAAAGATGGGAGTCAAGATTTCCTCTTGGCTTCCAAACAAAGTCGAGCCACTCGGTTTTGAAGGAAGCCTCGACGGCGCTCCTCCAGCCGCTTCGTAATCCCTGTCTAGACTTTTCAAGTAGTTGTCCGTACCACCGTAGAAGACATCGTCTAGAAGCGCACTGGTGATTTCCTCTAGGCTGATTGTGTCTGTCTTGTCAGTATCTACAGTTGTTGTTAATGTTGTTGTGGTGTCTTTCGGCTGCACAGGTGTCTCTGTGTCCTGGCTCTCAGCGGCAACCTCTCCCTCCTGTTCCGCCTCTCCCGGTGTGACCACTGCAGGACTTCCTGGAGCCTGGGCATCAATCATGGTGAACGCCTCAAAGTAGTCCACATTGCCAGCTGCTCCTCTGCCTGGAGGTCTGGCCACTGGAGCCCCCGGTGGATCCATTACGCCTGAGACTGAGGGCCTGACCTCGTCACCTCCTGGTGCATCCGATTCCATCGATGAGTTCACAAGCTCGTAATCTTGTGTTTCTTTGCTAGCTTTAGGGACAAGGCTCTCCTCCAGATAAGAAAGGTTGTCCACCATTTCTTTGCTCTCCTCTTCGTCCACAGTAGCCAGTTTTGGGGGAACGACAATGTTGAGGATTTCAGAGCCTTCGGACACTAATCTGAACAGCCGTTGCTCTTTGTCCCCCAGAGGATCATTCGCTTCATCTTCGTCTCCTCCTTCGGTTTTCACATTCGGCTGTGAGACTCCCACTAACTCCGGCCTCCCGGAGATGTTTTCAGAACTCTGTACGAGGGCCTCTCGCTGTCTGTCCGCCTTGATCTTCTGACTGCTCAGCCTCTCTTTCTTCCGTCTGGAAATCAGCTCCTCATCCATGACAAAGATAATCTTTCCTGCTGGAACAGACCCAGGTGTTGCAGGCCGTACTGCAACCGGAGAGCTGAGATCCACGGCGGAGTTCCCCGCCTCGGATGCCCACGGCGTGTTGCAGCGACTAGGGGTTGTCTCCCACGCGATCCCGCTGTCCTCACCTTGCATAGTGACCATGGAGAAGGAGGAGTCCATCATCAGGCACTGCATCTTAGGCCGGACGTTTTCATCATGGACGGCTTCGCGTAAACTGAAGGGAAACAATATGGCAGTGAGATACAAACTCTATTTAGATTCCAGTCCTCAGACGTATATTTGTGTTTTTATATTCTTATCCTAAACTTTATTTATACAAGTCTGATTCAGACAAACCTCAACTAATTGCACAACTGCATTAATATATATTGAATATTGAATATAAAATGTATGAATACTTAATTACTAATTATGTATGACTGATGCATGCCATTTTTTTAAAAAGTCTGAATAATATTCTCATGATTATCGCGATAATATTGTGTATCGCGGTTATTTTGGCCAAGATAATTGTGACATGCAGTGTTCATTATGTCCCATACCTAACTTCAGGGCGGTTGGTTGCATTATTAGCTCCTAAACTCACACTCATAAACACACAGGCACTAATTGAATTCCCTCCATTAATTCACCATTAAATGTGGGAATGGATTCAATCTATTACCGTAAAATAATGCTGCCTCTGAGTTACTTGTTAGAAATTAAAAACACCAGCTCAACATCTTGGTTTCCCCGACTGTTAATGAAAACCCCAAAGCGAACCTCATTACACAGAAACACATCCAGCTACTGATTCCAACCTGTTCCTGAGGTGCTCCACTTCATCGCTGGCATCAAGGTTTTGCTCGGGAACATCTTCAGATGTCAACGCCGTCATCTCGGTGTCCACGTCTGACCGTGCCAAACCTTCGCTCGCAGTATCCATTGTTGTAATATCTGGATGAATTTTGCTTTAGCCCTCTCACCACGACCCAGCGCTGCTCTGTTGATCACATTCTAAGCAAGCAGACTTGAGTTGAGTTTTCATGCTCAGCGTAATCTTGAAATAGAAAACTGGTCTTCCAGTGTTTCATGTGAAGCATTTGCAACATGTAGGAGGTTATTTTGTCATCTGTTCACACTGGCTGAACCCCTTTGCATTTTGGCATATACAATAAATAAGTTGTTGATTAGTTGTATAGCTTGTGACCACTTTGAACTGTAAAGAAAATGCTGCAGGATGAAGTTAATGCAGCTATTTTTTTTCTTGCCAGGTCTAAATATAATTTATTTTACTGGCTGCCTATATCCAGTGTCATGAGTCTGTCTGTCAGAGGCAGATAAGAAAGTTCAATGTGTTCAGTTTTGTTTTTAGTTGTGCACACACAACTGATCAGGGATCAAACAAATCCTCTATTGAGCTTTAACATTTGAGCCTGAACTGGTGAAAACACAACAGGATAGTTATGAGTTATTGTGCTGCTTTATTCTTTACAAAAATCTGCATAATTGTGGGTAAAAATCTTGACTCTTGATCCACTCTTCGATTAAAACGTCAACCTTGCAGCTGTTTATGTCCGTCTCGTGGCAGCGTGACAGAGATACTAACACGGGAAACGACTGGAGGAGTTGGGGAGGTTAACAGGTCGTATCTGGGCAAACGTTGTCCTCGTAAACCAGCATGCAAATCATAAACATGCCAAAGTGGACACAACAAATCTTCTTTGTGTCTCAATGAAACAAAGTTCTTCCATATTTAACCCACATTATAGTGACTCAGCAGTGAACAGTAAACAAAGACAACGATATTAAACAGAGAAAAGAGAGTATTCTTCATATCTGAGAGGCTGAAAGCAGACTTGACTTAAATGATTTACTTTTTATTAATATAGTTGTTGGTTAACTGTTAAAAATAATGTTGGAAGAAATATTTTTGATCCTTTACTTAAGTAAAAATACCAAACTGTGGAAGTCCCTTAAAGTGTGAAAAGTAAAAGTACTTATTTTACAGTAAAATGCTGTTTTATATTATATTTGATGTTTTTTTGGATAAATATTACTTCTGAATTAATGTGTATGTTTCATTTTACTGCTGTCGAGCTCATTTTAAGTACATTTACTCAAGTATTTTACTTTAATTTACTTATAAATGAATAAATATTGTACTTTTAACTCCATTACATGTATTTGACTGTTTTAGTTACTAGTTTCTTTACAGATTTGAATAATATAAAATTGATTTATATAATATAATAACCCAGAAGTAGCCTATATACATGTAAAGTAGATAAATTGGTTTCACCTTCACCAGTAATTAACATCACAATTAATCAATAATTATAATTCAGTAATATAATAACACATTATTTTAAAATGGGTCATTTTTTATGATGACTACTTTTAGTTTAGGTTGATTTTACACATAAAACATTTGATCAGTTTATAAAATAACAGATTAGTCTCACAAAAGTATAGTTAAATAGTTAGTTTACATTAATATTATTGTAATATTAAAACATTATTGATACGTAAAGTACATTTTGGTGCTAATAATTTTGTACATTTACTTTTAATAAAGTATTTGTACTCATTGTTACTTTTATTAAATTAAAGGATGCGTACACTTCAGTGCTGACTATATCAATAACTGTCCACAAGATGGCAATCACCAGTAGCATATAATGTTTACCTGTGTGTTATATTTATGTACTCTTTTAGTGTATTTTGAATGAAAAAGAGTGACTGAATGTAACACCTGAGCAGTAAATCTGTTGTCCTTTATTATATTAAATTAGTCGATTTGAAGTAAAGTGTGACCGGATCATAAAATGAGTTCAAACTCGCTCATTTACCCAAATGGTGTAGCCTTAATAATATCTTTGAATATATATGTGGCTCCTTGTTATAGTCTCTCATCCATAGATTAATTATTACCGGTATTTAATTCTTGCATCTATTCTGTTTTCTATGGAAGCCCATGTCTGCCAAAAAGATTCTGTAATATAATGAGAAACTTTCTCAAAATATTGACATAGTATCTCAAAATATTGACTTAGTATCTCAATAATATTGACATAGTATCTCAAAATATTGACTTAGTATCTCAATAATATTGACTTAATATCTATAAATATTGACTTAGTATCTCAAAATATTGACTTAGTATCTCAAAATATTGACTTAGTATCTATAAATATTGACTTAATATCTATAAATATTGACTTGGTATCTATAAATATTGACTTAGTATCTATAAATATTGACTTAGTATCTATAAATATTGACTTCGTATCTATAAATATTGACTTAATATCTATAAATATTGACTTAGTATCTATAAACATTGACTTAGCATCTCAAAATATTGGCTTAATATCTATAAACATTGACTTAGTATCTCAAAATATCGTCATTATAGTGAGTTTTTATTTCCTTTCACATTGCCAGAAATGGGCTTCCGTACACACACACACACACACACACACACACACACACACACACACAGTGAAACACTTTATTACCAATTACGTAAAATCTCGGAGTTTACGCGCTGACGTACAGAGCGGCGGCGGTTGAGGACGGAGCCCAGAGAATGAATGAGAGGATGAACCGGAGCCGTTAGACCGTTACAGCATCGTACCTGGACAACGTTTGAATCCCGGGCTGAAGCACAAGTGTTGAACAGTTAAATCACCCAGCGGGGGATCTTCACAAAACATCATCACCCTGTTGGTTGTTGGAAGCCTTAAAGGAGGAGGAGGAGGAGGAAGAGGAGGAAGAGGAGGGGAGAAGAAGAAGGAGGGGAAGGATGATACAACCTGGAGTTTACACCAACTGTTCGCAGTCTTTTCCTCCCCAAAAAAAAAAAAAAAAACAAGACATGAAGCTCCAGCCGTTGGAAGAAGATGTCCACCATCGTAACACCGAGCGGCGTTTAATTTAAAGACGGTGTCCGAGTGGCGGCGGTTGGAAAAAAAAAGAAGCAACCGTTAATGGCGAGGAAGAGCCCCGGAGACTGAAAGTGGGATTTACGGTATTCACCGTCAGCTAGCAGCGAATGGATACAGCCAGCTCATTCAGTGACTGTGCGCTATTTTATTTATTTTTTGTGTTTTAAAAAAAGTTTTAAAAGCTTAAATAACCCCCTTTTTTTTATATATATATATATCCCCCCCTTCCTCCTCCTCCTCCTCCCTCCCGTTCCCGCCGCCTGTCAGAGTTTATCTCTAAAGCTATTAATCCGGGGTTTGTTTTTAAAGCTAACCGCTAACAGTAGTAGCTCAAAAAGGCGTCTGCGTGCTCAGACACGTTTGCTCGGGTGACTACCAACACAGAAAAATGTACCCAAGGACATAAGTTAACAACAACAAGAAGGGGAGAGAGAAGGAGAGAGAGAGAGAGAGAGAAGGAGCCATGACAGGCTGAGGACAGAGAGGAGAGAGCCGAAGCTAGCCCCGTTCACACCGCCCTCCAGAGACCACACAGCGGATCGATATCGACTCCCAAAGGCACCAAGATCCAGCAAAAATGGGGTATGTGGAGTTAGTCACTAACAGTGGAGGTGCAGTGGCTCGCTTTCTGTCTGCAGGTCAGGGTGTGACTGACTTTTGTTGTGTTGGGGTTTTTTTTTTTTAGAGATTTTGAGCAGGAGAAAGTCTGCAGATCTAATTTAGAAGGAGGGATAGGGTTCCCACATGTTCCTGGAAAACAAAAAAAAACACACCTGGAAATTGTAGTTTTCCAGTCATGAAAACACCTGGGATTTGATTGATATATAGCAAAATGTCCTGGATATAATACACGTTGTCCTGGACATTTTAAAGTCAGATTTAGGGGGTTTGCAATGTTAATTTTAAAGTGTGCTAGGTGATTTAAATAATGTAATAGAGCAATGGCCAAGTGTCAGTGACAAGAAAAACACTGATTTTGTTAGAGAAAAAGAAGCCTGTTAAGTATTTATGATTGTTAAAAATAAGAAAAATACATAATAAAGAGAGAATTGTGTAAAAAGGGGTAAATAATCTGCTCAGAATGAATCAAAATCACTTGTTTTACACATACTTCTTGTTACTGAGTTCACTATTTGGATTCATTGTACAGTTTTGAATATAATATCCATAAAATATGTCACTGGGTCAGTTTACTTAATGATATAAAAGAGAATAAGGTTGTCCTACGTAAACCTAGGGGGTTGATTAGCGGAAAACTGAAGTAAACTGGAGTAATTTAATGATCTGTTACGGCCACATTTGAGACTTTTAGGCTTAAAAGGTCCCGTGTGTAACATTTCAGAGGCTCTGCTGGCATAAATATAATATAATATTCATAGGTATGTTTTCTGTAGTGTACAAACACCTGAATATTGCAATTGTTGTGTTTTTATGACCTTAGAATCAGCTGTTGGACCGTGATGTTTCTACCGTAGCCCAGAAGGGACAAACCAAACACTGACTGTAGATAATTTTTCATGAGTTTTAATGGCCACTGTAGTTTCTCCTACACACTTCACAGCCTCGTTCTCATTCTCAGGTCGTCAGATACAGAAAGAAATGTCTAAAGATTTGGAAAGATTTGAAGATTTGTTGATTTCTAATGCTACCTTTAGTTATTTCTATTCAATATGTTACTAATGTGCCATAATAATGTAAAATATCTTTATTTAAGGCCTTTTCCAAGCAAATTTTTTAGATTTTACGATTAAATCAGCATATATATAACACCATGAATATTCCTCTACGTCCACCCACTTTGGTACTAAAGAATATGCTTGGCCCCGGAGATACAACACTATAAACCATATACTGCTGCCCGTCGTTACATCCACTCACAGCCTCCATACACTGACATTTTTAGATTACCGAAGCCAAAAGATTAAGCTGTAAAGAAGCCGGCTACTGTTTGACGGATGGATGGAGAGCAGGTCAAGAGTCAGAGCTCAGACAGTTTGGCACAGTGTGGTTTTATTAATGGGGAAGTAAGACGAAGCATTATTGTTTTGATGGAGCTTTTAAAATAGTGTAATAATAATTTTTTTTGTGCTTTCCTACTTAAATCCCCGCCACAGAATAATGATCTCTCCCCGCACTCGGCTCGTGTAAATGCATGTAGCTGAACCTGCGGATGTATGGTGACTCTCCTGATCAAGGGGCGACCTAGTTCTTACTCCAGATGAAAGCAGATGATGTAGCATGTGATTGGTTTGTTGTCATATTGTGGTTGGGGTGGGGTGAGGTTGAAGAGGAGGAGAGAGGAGAGGGGGGGGGAAGCAAAGCACATCCTCTGTAATTCTCAAGGCCAATGGCTATAATCCAGTCAACAATCAATTCCCCGGACGCCAGAAAGAGAAGCGTGTCCTACGTGTGCACTCACCCTTTAATTAGCACGTCAGACTTCAAGCTCCTCCAACAAGTGCCGGAGCTTCTGTTCTTGTATAATAGATGGTTGTAAACGAGCTGCCCCCTCCTGAAACTTGGCACTCCTGAATAAAAACCGTGTCCAGGCTGCGTTTGTCTGCTTAACTGGTGAGACCAGTAGGTCAGAGTTCGACTTGCAGCCAGCTTGTTTTTGACTGGAAACAGACACATATTCTGGGACGGCGGTGGCGGCGGCGGTGACAGACTGGTGTCACAGGAATTTAGGTTGCAGTTATGAGCGAGCACATGACATGCAGTAGTGAGATAACACATCCCTTGACACCTGTTATGCCCAGACCACGTAAAGCAACAGCTTATTTCTGCCAATTTATTTTTTTTACTGTCAGGAATATCACATTCATATCTTTTTGTGTTCCACGTTATTTGGTGCATAATCGCTCTGCAGACGCCTGTTTTCTTTTACCCTCAGCGAAGCATACTTTTTCTCCCAAAAGCATTATGTTTTTATTTGATCAACAGTAGAGAGGTGCCAGGAAATGAGAGGAGAAAGAGGAGGGACGACCTGCAGCCATTCAATTCAACGTTAAGCAGTCGCTCCTGGAGTTTGCAGAATATTTTGAGCTTGTTGCAGCCTAAAATTGTCTGGTTTTGTAGGAGCTTTTCAAAGAGATTGCATGCATGTTGTGATGTTTTTAGGCTTCTTTTTTTGCAGTGAAATTGCAGGAGAAAGTGAAAATTGCGAATAAAATAGAGGTTTGATGATGTATGGCTCGAGGTTTTAGGCGGGGGGCCGGTATGATCTGCAAAACTAGCAGAAAACGTATACAGATACAGTGCACATTATTCACAGGGATTGGTTGAATTTGCATCAGTCTAAAAGAAACGTTATAGAATTAAATCAACCACACTACGTTTACAAACCTACATATTTCTGTTCTTTATCTTTATCTCAGGAGCTGCGTACAGGAGCTGTTTTTACACAGTTTTCCTGAAAATGAGAGTTGACAATCACGACAGAAAACGTGGTGAAGTCTCGTCCGACAACAGGCTGCTGTCTGCTGTCTCAGAAGTTCAAGAGCAAAATCCCACAATGTGGCTGTTGCTACGACCCTTGTTTACAAACCAACAATTTAAAATTCAGTGCAGAAAGACATAAAAACATTAACTTACCCAACACCATCGTCTTCAGTCTCCTCTCCTTACAACGTGCTTTTATTGAGTAAAACCAAAGAATAAAAGTGAACAAACATCAGTTAATAGAAGCTCGAAGATAACAGTGAGGTTTTAAGAAGAAGATTTTGAGTTGCCAGATGGATGATGTGAAGTTTATTTTGTATTTATGTGATTCACCAGGCATTCATCGCACCATCTGACGCGCCTCGAAGCAGATTTCATACAATGTAGTGCAGATTTTATTGGTCCCATCTCACACAGCGTGACCTGCACTGAACCTGTGAGATCGTTGTTATCACGCCGCGTGTAGGTGCCACTCGCCACTCGTTGGTGTCTCTGAGCCGACTTGTATCACCCACAGTCTTTACAAGAGACACAGGCAGTATGGTTGTGAGATGAGTGTGGATGAAAAGTCTTTTTGTTACCTCTTTTTTTGTTTGTTTGTTTTATTTTGGTATGGCTGAGTAAAGTGGAAATAACATAAGTGGAGCTCTAAAGAGAAAGGTGCCTGGACTATAACGGAAAGAGATGGAGTCGTCCTGTAATGTCCAAAAAGAGCTGAAACCTTTAGTCGATTAATTGATTAGTCTATGGACAAACTAATAAGCAGCTATTTTGATAATAAATTAATCATTTAAGTAATTTCTTAGCACAAAAATGTCAAAATGTCTCTGTATCCAGCCCCTTAAATGTTGAATATTTGCTCTTTTTTCCTCATCTTCTATGACATTAACCTGATCTATCTATCTATCTATCTTTGGGTTTTTGATCGTATGTCGGACAAAATAAGAGCTGACACTATTTGCTGACACTCTACAGACTATAACAGATTAGTAGAGAAACTAAAATGTAGATTAATTCGTTAAATTGCTCGTTAGTGTGCTGTAAAATGTGACGCACAGTTCACATGTTCTCTGCTGGCGTTGTGTGATTATGTAGCGTTCTGCCAGCTCTGTTGGGGTTTCTTAGCACCATGTTTGTCTTTTTTTTTTTATAACTTATTACCATTTTTCTCTTTCACTTCCCCTCATCGGACTTGTTTTATTTTTCCACGGAGGTCTAATAAAATAAAGTGATCTGAAAGAGGCGCACTGTAACCTTTTTATTACACCCAGACGTTGTAAAGGCAGGGAAAAAGACGCTGTGTCAGTGCGTCGCAAAAGATTCAACGTGTTGAGGCAAAAATCTTCTTTACACACACACACACACACACACGCGCACACACACACACACACACAGAAAGCCCTGAGCCTGGTGAATGGCATATGGGTGTTTTTTTTTAAACTGGAGGTTGTGCCTTGCCAAGCCCCTGCTGCCGCTCTCTGTGAGTGGGTTGACCGGCAGGGACGGCGGGATCGGATTGGGGCAAAGGGAGCATGTGTGGCAGGAGAGAGAGAGAGAGAGACGGATGGATGGATGGATGGAGTTTGGAGGATGTTCACAGCTCATGACCAGCCCTTGTGTCACATGGCTGTTGCCATGACGACGCAGCAGCTGAGTTAGTAATACGGTGGTGGTGGCGGCGGCGGCGGCGGTGGTGGAGGGGCGGGCGAGCACAGACTGCAACCAGCCGTGATCTGACACAGCAGAGTTTCTCTCTTTGTTGTTGTAGTTGTATTTTTCTTCTTAAGCAATATAAGAAGATTAATGTTTAATATTTTATAACATTGGATAATAATGCTTTAATTCTTATTGTTAAAGGAGTGTGAAGGGTACTTTTATAGGAAGGCATTGCATTGAGAGTCAAATGAAATATGTGTTAAAGCTGCAACATTTGTCCAATAATCAATTAGTTTATTGACAGAAAAGTATTTGGCAATTATTTTAATAATCCATTAATTATAAGCAGAAAGGCCAAAAAAAATGTGATAGTTCCTGGTTGTTTGGGCAGAAGAAGACCTTTGATGGTGTCTCTTTGGGCTTTAGGAATATCGAGACAGACATTTTTCACTGTTTTCTAACAAAACAAGATTAACCTATAACAA